CCCCCCCAACCCCCCTCCCGCTTATTTTTTAAAATTTAGGCTGTTGCTACAGCATGCCAAAGACAAACCAAGAAAACAACCAAGCATTAGCAACCAAAGCATTTGTCCCTCCAACCCGTAGCAGAAGTTAATGGAAGATCACCATGGAAAACAAAATGTCACCAGGGAAGGGAAAGGTAAAAGGAAATGGAAAGGAAAATGTAAAGGAAAGGGAAGAGGAAGGGGAAAGGGAAAGGGAAAAGGGAAAGGAAAGGGAAAAGGGAATGGAAAAGGAAAGGGAAAGGGAAAGGGAATGGAAAAGGAATCAGAAGACGCAAAAAAAAAAGTCCCATTAAAAAACAAAAAAATATCCCGCTAAAAACCTGCAGCCCTTTATTATGCATCTCAGCTGGCATGCGTGTCTTGTGAAGACTCTTGTGGCTTTTCCACAGGGCTTTGTCCGGAGTTTGCGGTTCGCCTAAGGATCCTGTACAACGAAACCAGCCTGGTGTCCTGTCCCATTGGTGGCTTGACACTCAAGGTTTTCCGCGCCACAGGGCAAGCCTAGCGTCCTGGGTCTCGACGTGACACATGTGGTCTCGAAAGGCGGGCACGTCTGGGTCTATTGGGTAAACGACCCACTCGACATTCCATGCCAGGTTCGTTTGGGGCACCCCAGCTTTCAAGACGGGTACACGCGACTTGACAAGATGCCAGGTCGAACAAACTTGCAAAGAGGTTTGGGCTTTGTTGGCAGTGTAAGTGAAAAAACAATGAACAAACAACTGGTAGTTCTGTGTGGCTTCGCACTGCGGCACCTCAAGATCATGTGGTGCAAATGTCCTAAACAGAATCCATCACAAAACCAATGGTTTCTTGGTCTGCATTGCATTCAGGGCATACCATGTCTTGGATGTTTTGGGCCCACTTGCTCACAAGAGATTCAATCGACCCAAAAAACCGATCAGACTGTGATTACCTCCAGGCGCGATGATGGTTTATATAAGTTGAAAACGAAGCGTTTGCCAGTTGTAACCCCGATTGCACCAAGGCTTTTTGGGTACCTTGCGCCTTCGCTGCCTGGGCACAGTGGTCATCGACAGTGGCGAGTGCATGCGGAACTGCATTGACGGTGGGCCAGTTGTGATGTTTGATGTTTTGTTTCATTCAGCGGGTGGTGATCCTCGACCCAAATAACTAGCGTAAAATCACGTCGGTAGCGGCAAAAGAAGTGGTTCCATCCAACGTCCCAGATGCACGTGGTTCCATGATTCGAGCCGAGGAGGATATCTACCGACTTTTTTGTTGTGTTGGATTTCTCCCGTTCCGGTGCGGTGAAGCACAGAGATCATCAGAAATTCCCTCAATTTGCTGCTCTCGTATTGCCAATCGCCAGGAGTCTTCAGGGTTCGCGATGGCATCCTGATGAACTACCAGGCAGAACAAGGATAGATAAAGACAACTTTGCACCAGGGCGCCGGTTGGGTTGTTCAGGAATATTATTCGTACAGCTGTCATCACTGTCGTCACAGGCGAAATGAAAAGATCAGCTGTTTGATTTGATTGGAACATAGCTGTTGATTGGGCTGACTGGCCGGATCTGATAGCGCTAATCGTTTACATACTTGAATACCAATCAAAAGATTTGAACTTTGAATGTTTAGCGGTCAGCTTTCTCAGGATAGGTGATAGGTGTGATACCTCAGTATCCCAACAATATGCACAGTATGTAGTATGTTGGCAGCATTTCTCGCACAGCCATTCTTCCAAAGTTTGCGAAGATCTTTGTGACCCACAAGTATGATGGATGACAGTAAATGACCTTCACAGAGCACATGTAGCGATGAATCATGATGAATCACAATGAATCTAAGGCGGCCAAACCTCTTTTTTGTACCCACGCCAACGAACCAGCCCCAAACAAAACAACGGGAAGCCCCTTCTCCCCCCTTCTCCCCCTCCGGGACCTCACGGTGGACGTCGGGTCAACCAGGCCATGGAGCACAACCAGCTCAGCAACGAGATGACGCTCCGAGGGAGGTGGACCATGGTGAACCTATACATTGACCCCTGAAATCCACCAGTCCATGGGTCAATGTCAATGATGAGTGGACCTGGATGAGGTGGACTGGACGAGGTGGACTGGGATGAAAAGGCGTTTGGGACAGACGTTTGGGGGGAACTCGGATGGACTCGGGGATGTTGACCTCGCCTTCAGAGGTTTTGTTTGTGTTTTTGTTGGGGTAAATGTTTGCCTCCATGGCGCTGATGATGTTTTGTGGAGGATCCAAGAATGAATGATGTTCAATGATGTGGGTCAATTCTAGCACTTCATAGCAGATACAGCGTTTCCCAAACATGTCTTTGGCGGCCATTTTGCATCTTTTTGCCATGGTTCGAGGTGTTTCAACTCGTCAATGGGGTCATCCTGAGGATTTGCCCGCGTGGCTACGTTGGCTCCATTCGGCTGAGCTGCTTCGATGGCAACGTCGGGCTGCATTCGGGAAAGCCGCTTGGAATGGATGACAGGCGCTTGGTAGAGGAGGCTTGAGTAGGCAGGCCACAGGTGAAAGATGGCTCAACATGGCTCAACGACTTCTTAGGGCATAACGGGGGTCTTGGATTTTGTTGGTTTGAGGTGTATGAGGTGGTCAATCATAGCAATCTGGCAGAAATTTGTTGTCAAAAGTGTTTAGGAGATGTATGGTCCGAGTTGGTCGTTTGGGCAGAAATCCCGATGCATCCATGCGTTCGTTGCATTTGGCTTTCAGAAGTCCATGGGGGTCCAGCCACATTGAACGAGCTGTTGGGAGCGTCCCCTGTGGAGTGATCGCTGCAAAAACCTGAGGTGAGAGGAAAAACGTGAGCGATATCAGTTGTTAAACACGAGCTAAGGACTGTTGACTTGGGTCAGTGGACATTTGCTTGGACAATATGTTTGAGTGCGTCAACTAAAACATGCTAAACAACACTTACCCTTCAGTTTTTTGGCGATACCCGGTCCGTGGAGGACCATGCACACGATTGGACCACTCGAATCACTTGAGGTGCTTTGAGCACTGTGGCAGCGGACAGGTCCAAGGTGCCAGTTACAATGATCTGAATCACGACACTCGGAACGCGTTTCGAGGATGGTTGAGGACGGTAGCTTTCGGAGTTCATGGATGTTCGATTGTCGACAGACGTGCCTTTTAAAGGCTGCGTTTCATCCTCACGAATGTGGTCGAAAGTAATAGACCCAGAGCACCAATCACAACATCTGTGATGCTGCAGCATACTGCTCCATAAAGCTGCTCGGAATAGCCCCCACCAAGAACCACTGCCACTTCTCCGACATTCACACCGTTGTAGTTTGCAGGCTTCTTCCCGAGGTGGTGGTGAGAGGAGCAATCGATGCACAGGATGAATGCATCCAGAACCTACAGGTGGAGGGTCGTAGTCATAGTCTGAGTCTGAGGCTCAAATGATCTCAAATCTATCAAATCAATAATTGTGTCTTCGAATGGCTTTCGTTCTTTCTTTCTCAGGTCAGGTCAGACAAATGAAAACATGTTATTGCAAGTATTGGCTCAAACGGAGCTCAGGACCTCAGGGCGGTTGAATTCTCCACCCAGCCGACCCAGCCCAGCCTTTTGCAGAAACTCAGGAGGATTACGACTCAATTATTTGCCCAGAGGTCGGCCAGATTCGCATTCGACCCTTGGAAACAACCAGTTGGTGGGCACAGGAAATGTGGGAAGCACAGTGAGTTGTGAGAAATCAAATTGGGCCGGGCCCTAAAATCAGAGATTCTTTGGGAAATGACGAAGGTCTCTTTGAAGCAGAGATTTTGAAAGGCCAGCTCGTAGTGAGGCTTGAAGCAAAAAACAGAGCAGATTTCTGGTGCCTGGTGGTATGCTGTGGCTCGCTCCAACCACGTTTTAACTGAAACCACCAGCATGATGTTCATTTCCTTGATTTGGTTCAAAAGAGTACCACTTCGCAAAGCCACACGCACAGGATCTCTATGCAAATTTGTCTTCCAAAGAATCAACCAACCCGGGTGGTCAATCTCAGAGCGAGACCCAGTCAGTATGAACATCACCCTCCGTGGATATTCTGTATATTTCATTATACTTCTGTATGATTTCTGACACACAATCTGAGAGTTGAGCGTGATGGAGCGTGGATGATTTTGCAAAGCATGGGTGCATGAAACATGTAGTCGACACAGCTCGAGGATTCGACTGGAACCCGGATGTGTCGATTCTTTCTGTTTTTTGTTGGACATTTTTTGGACGGGGATAAGGTTGTTTTGGAGAGTTGCTTTCAGCGAGTTTGAGGATAGAATCAAAAGGTGCAGGAGTGAGGCCGAATTGGAAGGGGGATCATGCGGGTGGTATTGCTGCTGTTTCTTTTTGCCAGATCCACATAGTTCTTGAATCCTTGTAATTATTCATGTTTCATAGTTGTGGCCTCGTTGCTGCTCTTAGAATGCAGTCTTTTGCTGACTTTCGCATCCCTGGAATCGCTGGAAGCTTTTGGGCTTCGGCCCATTCAAGTGAGCCACGCCCACGCCAGGTTTGTTTGATCTCGACATGTACTCTTGGATGTAAAATCTTTCCCAACATGTTCGCCGGTTGACCCACTATCTCTGGTCTCTGGCAAAGCCGAATGACCTGCCCCCAAAAGCAGGAAGTCCTCTCCGAGTCCTCTCTCCCCAAGCTAGCTCTTTGACCTCCCTGAGGTTGCTTTGATGGCGAGACCCAAGTCTTAGATGGAGAGTGTTTGTATGGCTGCGCGGGGGGCACCTCGATCGATCCCAACGGAGTCCCCGTGCAGCACCCCGCCTTCCCGCACGACACCCGCGCCAATGGCACTTGCAGCCGCTTCGTTGGGTGGTGTGGAACGGGCTGAAAGGGCAACCCGAAGTGTATGATCGAATCCCATGATGGTGAGGGGGATGACTTTTCCAGATAGCAGACTCGTGGGCCGTTTGGATGACCGTAATTAGTCGCTTCCTGTTCGTTTTGTTTGTGAGATTTGTGAGGGAACTGACTCAAGATCATTTGCTAAAGACATTTCTTTGGTGGGCAAACGTTTGATTTTGACCAACCCAACCTTCATATGTGTGATGCATGTAAGCCGCCAAACCGAGCCAAACGGTTTTGAGAATATCTTCTATGAGGGGCCTCACGTCCTATTTAGTTGTTGCTCGCCATAGAGCAAGCAGATGGAAAGAAGCTGTTGCCTTGCTGACGAACGAACATGTTGCATTCCTTTTTCCGGGGTTGGATGGACCAATGAACATGAACATGATCATAATGAGGTGTTCGATGACTTGAAACGTTTAAACAACCCGTTTGGCCCCTTTGGGGTCCCCAACTAGGAAGAGGGCAGCAACCCCCCTTTCGGCTAGAAGTGAGGGGATTTGGATGGTGGGAGGGCGGACAGCGCCTCAGAGAGTGAATCGAAGTTGCACTTGAAGTAATCAAAAAATCGACCAGATCATACGGCATTTCAGGTATCATATAGATAAGAATCTTTGAAGATCATGGGACATTGGGACCTTCTCAAGATTCTCAGAATCCACCCGGACGAAAGAGGCAACCATTCGAGCAAACTTGGTCGATCAATGCGGCATGCACTGACCAGGTCAATCTGGCGTTGGCCAAGTGGAGCTTTATTGCAACAATATGAAAGTCTCGCTGGTCTCTACTAGCCGGAGCTGCGACAGACATTGTGAGCCGCAGATCACTGTGTGTTTTGGTGGGCAAGATGAACAAGATGAGCTTATATAGGAAGATCAAATTGAGAGCTTTTGCATCTCCAAATTGCTCTTGGTTCTTTAAAGCAAACCTGATTGCATAGTTTTGTAAGCCAAACAGTTTTTTCCGTGCTGCTCAGCCCGGATCGATGGCATGGCTTCCATCTGGCACCCTCCCATGGGAGGTCCGTCCCAAGGTCGAGGGATGGTTCCAACATTTCTGCGCCCTACATCGAGCATTTGCAGACGGCCTCACAGCAGTGCCCGAACAGCATCCCCGGGCTCTTGGCTTTGCGTTGCCAGGAGACTCACCGTTTCGGAAGAAGTGGAAGGAGCGTGTGAACAGAACTGGGTGGGGGTTGCAAAAAGACTGAGATGGTTGGGTAAACAGAAATCGTTTGAAGTGCGGTCGGAATGGTAATTGTCAGTGGACCTGAATCTAGGGCCACCATGCTGGGGAGAAGGCGTTTCACCCTAAACGAATGGAAATGACTCGAATCTCATCATGAGTGAGTTGAACCTTGAGAGATTCCCGATATTTATTGGGACACTTGCAGATGACAATCTGTGTGCATCAAATAGTTTGAAGGGAACTTGCCCGCATCACAACGAGCAATTAGAAGGGATATAATTACATGGCATTGATTTCTGCCTATTTGTGCTGCCAGATCGTTTTGGCATGTTTTCACTCCTGTTGCAGGACAATGTCACGACCATTTTCGACGGCATTTGCGGGGACATGAACTGCCTCTCAGCAGATTTGGGACTGAAATCAGTCTCAAGAGAGCTCAACAAAACAGTTCTGAGCAGTAGTGTCCCATGGCTCCACCCTTCCGCCTCAATCACCTTTCTCCACCATCCTCCAGTGATTTTTGTCATTCGTTGGCCATCTCACAGGTCTCGAAGACATCAACCTCCACCTACTTTTTTCAGCCCTTATGAAAACTCCCAGTTCTTGGCTCTCAGGCCGGGCCGGTACCGTCTTTTCCAACGGCGCAGAGATCCTGCACCCAGCCATCAACGACAAGCGCCGTGCGGGACCTGGCACCTGTGGCGCCGACTATCTCGGGGAGCCGGTCTTTGAGTGCACCTCGCCGGTCTTGAAAAAGAATGAAGAAGACTTTAATGACCCTAATAACAATGGCCTCCAACCTAATAGCAATGGCCTCCAACCTACTAGCGGCCTCCAACCTACTAGCAATGGCCTCCAAGCTAATAGCGGCCTCCAACCTAATTGCGGCCTCCTCCAACCTGATAGAAGTGAAGAGACCCCCATCTCATAAAAGTGGATGAATTGCACATGCTTGTACCAGTGCTTGTACCCTCCGACGAACACATCACATGGAAGTGGATGGCCGTGTGGATGGCATGGTCCATTGGGAAGAGAACGTTCCTTTCTGAACAGGGAGTGAAGCCACTTCTGGTTTCAACCAACGTGATGATGTGTTCCTCGGAATCTTTTTTGACTGAGACTTGGTGCGACTCGGTGAACTAAAGAGTGCAGGTAAATTTTGGGTCGAATGATCATCTTCATTAGAGAGGCGCAGGATTCATTTAGGGTGTCCATGTCACCTGTCTTTAAGGGAGTGACTCCCTACTGAGGAAGCATTTAGGTATCAACCGACCGTGGAATCTGTGGGAGGCGAGACTCCCCTCATTTCCTCAGAAGGCCGCCGATGACCGGTCCATAGTCCTCTTCCCTCTATGGGATGTGAGATGATGTGAGGGTGAAACTGAAGAGGACCTCCAATCAGACTGGTGAAATAGGCATGTTTCAGTGCATGTGTCCATTCATGGCCTGGGCCTGCGGGGCTTCCTGTTGCTTTGACACAAACCAAGTGGAAGATGCGAACCCGACCCCAAAACGACTCCGATTCACTGTGCAAAGTGCAAAGCACAGGGTATGGTCCACATGCCAGCAATTGGATGCTGGTGCGCCATTTTGTGTGCTCATAGATGCTCATATCATATCCATTTATGCAATGGTGGTCTGGTTTCTTCGGCATTGCTACCGGCTGCCATGACTGAGCGGTTTTTCGCGGGTAGTATTTGTGGGCGTGTTTTCGTGCCCGGGGGGTCCCCTGAAATCCGCCCGGGTGCAATAGTTCAGAAATGATCGGAGCGCGGATAAAGAGGCTGCGCCGGCAACTCAGGCAATGATGGCAACGCATCTCGACACAGATTCAATGGTCAGTTGGTACATTGGGGACATGGCACCTTACATCAATGATAGTTCGGGCTGCGTACTTGCTTTTTTCGTGGCAATTGCACCTAAGGGGCAGTAGTGCAGCCACATCCAATGGATTCTGACCAACAGCTGAGCAGGTTTGCAGTGTCCCACATCGCCAAGACTCTTCAGGACCATGTGGCTTACACAGGTTTCATCCAGCGAGTTTTTGGTCACTAAAGGCACCTATCCCAAGTTGCAGTTTACTATCCCTGTTTTTTCTGTGGTCCTTCATTAGTCCAAAGGCTCTTTTGTCATGTCTTCCCACCAGAAAACTCAAACTCTCCCTTGTTTCTTCCCTCAGTTTGGAACAGCACTTCAAGCTGGCCCCCTTGTTTCAGGATGTGTAAACAGAGGGGTTGCCATCTCGGCGAGACTGGGAAGCTGTCGGTGATAGTGGTGATTTACCAAAAACAGCCATGAGCCTCATGAGCCAAAGAACGAAAGACACTGGATCAAGCAGCTAGAGCAAGTTAGAACAGACACTGAATAGATTGGACAGATTGAAGGCTAGAAAGAGAAATCCCAAGAGTAGAAATGATATGAAAAGACCCTTGAAGCAAAGAAAAAGGCCTCACTTGGTGTCCACGGTCCCCTACGGTCCCCTTTTTCCTCCTTCGACTCTCAGACCACGGTCCTCACGGTGAACCTCATCCGCCAGCCACGGATCCCTGGTGTGGACAATGTACCGCGGCGAGCTTAAAGCGGTGGGGTACCGGGGGCGGGGAGCAGCTTGGAGCGACTGCCGGTCGCTGGTCGGTGTCGTTTTTGGTTGCTTTAGATAGGGAGGTGAGTAGATTGAGCAGACCCATCATCTACAGACAAGGCCCAAGCACGGTGACCCGTTGCTTGTTTCTTAGAAATTATGTAGAGCTTGTTTCCAAGAAGACGAGCTGCTTTGTGCCGTTGACTGACAGGGTCCATGATTGCTGAAAAGAGGTCAAGAGCCACCCTAACGGTCCCGGTGGTGATGGACTCCCTGCCCTCCCAACTATCATCTCTTCATGTTTGTTCTGGCTGCTTGGTGGCCTCAGTGGAGTGTCACTGCGTCCACAACCCCCGTGCTCCAGTGGATCGCTCGCTGAAGAGGTGAGTGAAATCGGCTCGGAGTACAACTTTACGGAGGACGGTCGCATTGCTTTCGCACCACTGGTCTCGATGGTGGATGTCTCTGGCACCATTTTGGGGTCAAGAAAAGGGGGCCGTCTTTTGGTCCATTGCTGTCTGTGTAGAATCATTGGATATTAGTGGATTCCTTTTTTGCCAAAATGAAGGCGGATCTCTTCACATCTTGGAGAGATTTAGGAGGGTCTCCTTCCCTTTAGTTTGTTCGTTGACGGTCCCCCAGCTGGATGGAGATTGGTGCGTTGCCAACTCATGGATGGGCTTGGAGAATGATTTCTCTTGCCCACGGGATTAGGTGCAGTGTTTGCTGAACCAGTGCGTTCTTCAGAAAAGGTGTCAATGATTTGATGATCGCGGCATCCGCATGTTTGCATTGTTCACAACACCCATCCAGGGCCTGTTCAAACAGTATCCAGGTGCATGAGAAATTTGCCACAAAGATCTGCAAAGATTTGCCTGGTGGGCACCTGGAACATGTTTGATCATGCACCAGCCTGTAGTGTTTATGGCTCCTGGTGGCCCAATCAAAAGGTTTCGCTTTCGCTCCAACTTTGTCTTTGAAGGTCACGCGCGGGTATTCAGAAGGGCGTCGATGAGCAAGGGGAGAGGCGTTTCCCACCACCTCCTTTTTATAGAGAAGAACATACATAGAGGTTCCTCTGATTCATAGATTGAAAGATTTTGGAGCAGATCCTGAAGGTGTATCACGTTTTGTGATGGGATTGTCTCGCAGTGTCTCGCAGTAGGGGACCCTCCCAACACATTGGCTGGAACCAGTTTGATCTTCTTTTGGGGGGTTGAAGGACCTAAGGACCCCATTATTTGGTGACAACCCACTCTGACGAGCCGAAGACCGGAGTTGGTTGAATCTCACTTCCCCCTTTGTTGACCGAACTCTGGGTGAAGATGGTTGACAACATCATCATCATCATCACCACCATCATCATCATCATCATCACCATCATCACCATCACCACCACCACACCAACCACCACCACCACCACCACCACCACCAGCAGCAGCATCATCATCATCATCATCATCATCATCCTCATCCTCATCCTCATCCTCATCCTCATCATCATCCTCGTCCTCGTCCTCGTCCTCGTCCTCGTCATCATCATCATCATCATCATCCTCATCCTCATCCTCATCCTCATCCTCCTCCTCCTCCTCGTCATCATCATCATCATAATCATCATCATCATCCTTTTTTATATATATATATATTTAGAGTCCGGGTGTTTGTCAGAGTGCGCTGTTTTATGATTTTTAGTAGTGTTATAACATAATAGTTCTTTAAATAGATTTCCTTTAAAATGTATGTTTGTTAAATAAACTATATTTTTAACAATTTGTGCCTTAATAATGGACAATTAAATCATTCTAATGTTTGATACTGTTTTCCTAATTTTGTTGCAATGTTTTCTACTGTATATTCACCTTGTAAAAAATGACTTGTTCTCTCTTTCTCTGTAATTGCGTTCTTCCTCATTATTTTTACCCTGTCTCCCACCTCTAGTGTTGGATACATATTTTCTTTACTTGCTTTCACTGATACATTCAATTTTGCTTTAAACTCATTCTTCTCTTTCCTTGCTTCATTTGGTGTTAGTCCTGTTGCACTATGCACATCTTTATTATAAGTCAGCATTATTTCTAATATGTAGTCAGTCCATTGTATATTCTGCTTTCCCTTCTTCTCATCATTTTCAACTCTTTTGAATGGTTTATCCTTAAATATCCTAAAAATCTTTCAGCGAAGACAGGATGTCCTCTTGCCCTCAATGCCTTCACCATCAGCACTTGCTATACCTCTTTCATCATCAGTATACAAAAGTTTGCACTTCTTTCCCATTTTGTGTAAGCCTTCCATAGTTTCAGCAATTATGGCAGGTGGGGTTAAGCCTTCCATAGTTCCAGCAATTATGTCAGGTGGGGTTTTACTCTTTATTGGCACTACCACAGCATATTTACTCAGAACATCTATCATTACTAAATCCGCTCTAAATTGTTGTGTTGCTTCAATGTCATCAGGTAAAAAAAAAACAACAAAACAAAAAAAACAATATGTCAAGTTGGTAGGTATGATTATTATGAGGTGCTACAAAACTGTTCTGACCTCTGTGTTTTTTCTTTATCTCAACATTTTTCTAAAAAAAGTATTCAACATCAACCAGTTTTATTTCAGATTTTGTTTTTTTTGCATCTCTTAAAGTTGTTGCTTTACTTCCATATTTTCAAAAATAATCAGTGAGCACTACAATTACAATACTTACAGTATGGAGTGCAATTATCCACAGAATGGCACAGTGTATTGTCTAGTCTTTGTGCTGTGAAGTTTTTTTGATAAGTTGCCTTGCTTCATTTCAATATAAGATTTTATTCCACAGTGGGCACAACAGCCATGGAAATGATTCAAACATCAATGTTCATTGATATAGTTGTCTTCATCTATTTCTCTATCAGCCACTTTATCCTGTTTTTTGTGTCCTTCAATCTTGTTTTTAAATATCCTATTACTAAATTATTTTGCATCTCTTCATCTGCGTTTTCATTCTGGAAATGTGTAGTCTTTTGTATTTATGAATACTCAAAGCATTTGGTCATATCTGAAATGCCTCTATCTGGTGCAAAATTTCCAGAGGTTTGGGAATTTGGTGGTTCCAAAAAACTTGGGCTTTCCAAAAAACAAAAAAAAACAAAAAATTAAAAAAAGATTTAAAAAAAACAATTTTCCAGAGGTCTTTGCACTTGGGGCTTCTGCAGAAAGAGTTTTGAAATATTGTTTTTTTTTTTAATTTTTTTGTTTTTTTTGTTTTTTTGGAAACCCCAGGTTTTTTGGAACCACCAAATTAAACCTCTGGAAAATTGTATTTTTTGGTATTTCTGAATACTCAAAACATCTGGTCCTATCTGAAATGTCTCTATCTGTTGCAAAAGTTACAGAAAAACCTCTGCAAATCATTGTCTCTATCTGGTGCAAAATTTCCAGAAAAAAACATCTGCGAATCAATGGAAAACCGCACTCTCAGGGACACCCGTTCTGTATATTTATTACTTTGACAGATCCATTTCCATGATGTCATATTATTAATTTAGCAATATATAACATATATGTAATAGATCTCTGTAAATTTCTTTCTTTAGGTCAATGTTTGACCCCGACAATGTCCAGTTTCTGTGTTTGGACGACCATTTTGTTGGAGGATGATCGCTTCAAGCTCTGCGGCTGTTGCTTGCCCCCGCCACCCTTGCCCGACGTGGATGCGCTGAAGGGCTTGGACAGCTTGGTGACTGAGCCGAAAAGTGATGGAAGATTCGTCTTGGAGAGCACGGACGAGGGTCCTCTGTTGAATCATGTTGAACCCTTGACTGACTAGTACGACGAAAGTAGGAAATGAGTGAAGTTTCGCCTCCCACACTAGAGATTGCTGAAGGGATCCTCCAGCATCCAGCCACCCTCACACCAAAAATGCCCCATCGTCCGCTCGTCTGTTGGGATGGAGCACTGGAACTGGCTTATGGATTTCCACAAAGGGCATTGATGTAGTACATAATGTGTTACAAAGGCAATGTTATATATATAATATATATATATGTGTTATATGTATATTCAATGGATGGAAGCGAAACGATCTGCGAAGCGTAGGCATTCCAGCAGTGTATAGGCCCTTTACCTTTGAACAATTTGCGTCACGAGATACTCGGTCTTCATGAACTGCGCGCCTGCAGACGTTCTAAAAAATTGCTGGGCGGGTCTGACGGGCGCTACCGCCACTGTATGTCATATGTATGTCTGACATTTGTGAGTGAGTTCATGTATCATCAAGGTTTTTCCTGCAAGCTGCAGATGTTAGACAAATGCTGCAAACAGATTTTTCATGTATAATTTGTTGTTTTTTTCCTGAAAGCTGTAAGTGCAACACGACCGTCTCCCATGTTCACACCGAAGAAGAATTAAACCTCCACGGAGGTGGTCATCTACTGGGCCGTGGCAGTCGGAGGCATGTCGGATGGCTTTCACACGTTTTGATCAAGACGTGAATCACATGGCTGTAGCGGAACGTTCTGGACACATGATGTGTGCAGGAACATGGTGAATGGGCCATGGGCCATCCGTGTCCATGTGATTTGGGTGGTCATATGAATGTAAGAGAGGAAAAGGAGGAGACTGGGTGTCGATTCTGTGTTGGGACATACCCAGATCTGAGACGATACAAAGTCTGGAGGTCACGTTTTGTTCAAGGCGTTACACAAATTGTAATTAGTATGTTTCCCTCCAGCTATCACTCCATTTCTTTGCTTCTCAAAGCACCTTTGCTGATTGTATGCATGCTGCGAGGCGCGGGCTTGTTAGTGGCCTTTGCTTCAGGATATTGGATCCACCACCAGAGCAAGAAGAAAAAGCTCAGCCAGGCTCAGACAGAGTTGAGTCCTCGCTGCCTAGGTTGTCCTGAAACCTCAACCAGCCCCACCTCTAGGAGAACAGTTGAAGTTGGGATGCAAAAAGCCGATTACCCCAGTTCACGGCCACACATATTTCACCAATTGCCCCCATGTCACATGTTGACAAAGCTTAGGAATGATTTGAATGAATGAACCATGCTTCACATCCCAGACAGGAGGGTTCAGAAGCCACCCTGCTGGCCGCTGAAGATGGATATTTGGATCACTTGAGGTCAGACTGGACATTGATTCAGGCCTTCCCCACAAGCTCTCCTCACCTTTGCCCAGCTTTTGTCTCTTTTTGCAACAGACAAACCAAACAGCTGTGGAAGTGGATCAGCCGACCATGTGTGGACCGGTCACCAGGTGGCCCCGGCAGCCACGGGCGAGGTGGAGGACCGCCACGGGCGGAATTGAAAGGTCGGAGCGGGGGAGGGGTCAACTGCAGCGGTTGGTGTGAGCTTGGCATGAAAAGCATCCAATGAGAAAATAGGACGAACCGGACAAAATCATACAAAATCAACCCGACAGAGATGTGATTCTGTTATTCCGTGTCTCTTTTCCTTTTGGCATCATAAATCATATTATCATCCAAATGATCCAAATCATAGTACTCTAGTTCTCTCATTTATGTACAGTAAGTCTTGTTTAAAGTAATTATTCAGTATGTTGTTGGTCCCACCCAAGTATCTCAATATAGTTTTCGGAAAAACGCTATACGGATATATATATATATATATGTATGTATCCTATGCTTTTGAAGTGGAACCTTCCCAGGCCGAAAACAATCACACTCCAGATTTTCTGCCGAGAACTCCTTCGAGGATCAGTTGGCGCTCCCGGAGAACTCCTTCGACAACAATCAGCTTGCTCTCAGGGATGCTGCTGACACTCTGGCGGAGCCGCCAGATCCCAACATGGATGCTATGGTCAGACGTCCAAGCATGGATGGGCGGCAGTCATCACAGATCTCGCTGGCCCAATCGTGGCTCGGCAGTCACATCAAATGGTTTGGCAGGTAGATTGGGGAGAACATACATGAAATTCAGGTGTTGGCAGTGTTGGCCATTGACAAACTTGTTTGCAAGATGTTCACAAGCTACCTCGTTTTGGCCAACATAGTCTGATGTTTAACTTGTGCGCCTTCTTTCTGGAAACTGGTGGCAGGCACAAGGGAGTAGCACGATAGCACGCAACTTAATGATAGAATGATTAATCATGATCAATTGCTGGCAACTCCTTGCTGCATCATGCAGTATCCAGTTGGTTAGTAGGCTGTAGCCCTGTGCAACCTGGCATTTCACCCGAACTCCTTGCCATGTCCTCATGCGGACCAGCGCTTTCTTAAGAGGTTTGAGGTTCCCTCTCAGGATTCATGGAATGATGCATCTCTGTGAATCAAGTTGGGATCTCCAAGTTCTCAACGGGCAATTTGGAACACGTTGATGCTTTCCTGGCACTCGCTTCCTTCACCGCCTTTGTTCACCGCTGAAGCTGTCGAAGGAAGTTTACAGTACCATTTGAACATCGATGTTCACCGCAAGTTTCAGGCGAACTTTTTTTTGAACAGCCATGCATATGTAACAGCCCTGCATATGTGGGGGCATTGTCGATTTTCTTGCACCAGCTTGGAAATCATGTTTCTAGAACCCTCCGGGCCCTCCAGCAAGTGAATATTACTAAATATGATTGTCAAACAAACATACTTTAAAAAGACCTACCAAGCGTTCCCGGTCGTTGCTGATACGGCATCCATATCACCTTCCAAGGCTGCCGTCGGAAGCACCAAGACCACAGATCTTGAAGCCCAGGAGGGATGGCACCAACAAGGACTGGACGTTCGGGATTGTTGGACGATCAGTGACCGGAAGGCCATCTAAAACGCTTAAATCTACCCCCTGCCTGTCTGCAGTCATGTGTCATGTTCCCTGCCATGTCAGTGGCTGTTTGAGAACAGGACGGAGATTTCACAGTGTTTGGGCCACTTAGAGTGACTACTATACCTTTCCAGTGATCAAGAACAAGTGCATGCCATGAATCAACAGAAAGAATTCGTTCAAACAACAACTTACATGTACTTTGATTGCTCCTCATGCAGACAGTGGATCCAATGGTTCCCAATCAGCCTTTGAGGCCTCGAGACGAGGGAAATGGGTCGGGCTCACCAGTTTAGACGAATGTGTTGTCATCGTTTCCGGTGCTTCCAACAGCTCATGAGCTGCCAAGTCCGCCAAGTGTAGGAAGTCGGCGGAGGAAATGAAGAACCCACTCCAGCGAGGAAAGCCGGAAAGCTTGCTATCTAGGCCAATTTCCTACCATTTGTGCACAGTGTTTTTTCTCTAAATATGGCTGGGATACTGGGTGTTCGAAGAGTTGTTCTGAGTCAAAAGAGGAAGCCTCGTCCTGCTTTCTGGCACATGTTTCGCATCGCCGCATATCTCCAGGAGTGGCAATATTGGTGATTCGGTCGCCGGTTTTCGCACGCTGGGCTCTGCCAAATTCTGCCAGACAGGTTTTGGACGGTGAAAGGATCGGGTATGAAGGTAAATGTCAAACAAAAAGAAACACTATGTTTTCAGGATGCAGGTGATCTGCTAGAAAGTGCAAGAAATTCATTGGCAGATGCCATAAATATATGCACAGTCCACTGCATGTGACAGTTTCACTGCAATCGAATTCCAAGCGTTCTAGCGCGCGAAGGGCACATAGCCATCGCCCCAAAGGGACATTGGCTATTGGCAGTGGTGAACCACTGCATACAAAGAAACGTGCAAGTTGATTCAAAGAATGAGCATGACACCCAATAGTGTATGATCCTTTTGTTCCTGGATCCTTTAGCATGTCAGGATATAAGCCCCGCCATACTACTGTAAGGCAGTGTAAATGTTGAACTTCACACACCCAAAGAACGTCAAGAACTATCCGCAAAACTTCCGCAAAAAAAAACAAACAAACACGACAATCCCGCACATTCCAACAAAAAGACGTACAGTATTGTTTCAACCCCTTGTATGGATCAGTTTGTTCTGATTTGTTGTCATCAGAGCACATTTATATAAGAACTGCTGCAGATGCTGGTGTTTCTTGAGACACGACCGTTTGTTCTCTCTACAACCAGCTCTCCATTCTGCGTGTGGCTGAAGCTGCTCCAGCTCAGATCTCCACAGGGAGTTGTGACTGGAGAAACAAGAAAGGGGGACATATGGGCGGAAGCACATCACCAAATGTGACCAAATCAATCCAAATCATATTTCAGAAAAGCTTGCAACGTCACCAAGGCAGTATTTTTCTTTTCTTGGCTGGACTGCTTGTTCGATTTGACTTCTAGAAAAGGCGCTTAGGACGGACTCTTGTCAATGAGAAGCTTAGGGTTGCAAATGGAGCACAGCAGAAAGAGGGTGCAAATGCGTTCCTCCAGAATCTCAGAGTCGAACATGAAGGAACAGACAAACGGGAACAGACATGCTGCAGGTGTGACATGTTCAGCAGCATATTCAGGATATATCCTCCTCCCAACAGGAGGCAGAAAACAAGGGGAAAGACAGGAACATGTGAGTTTCTCCCCCCAGAACATGGACACTGGTGAAGTTCACAGCTTCAGAGGGAAAATCAAGAAACCTCATGAACCCCCTATGAAAACCCTGGCCCTGGCCATTGAAATCTAGACCTCAGTCATCCCCAGACACAAGCTGATGCCGCCGATCCATGGCCTTCGCCCGGCTCTTCGAGCACCCAGCCGGCACCACCGCTGCCCGGGACGGGTGCAGTTCCGTGCGCAGTGGAACCTGCAAACCTGCGAGTCTAACGCGGGGAAGCAGTGTATCGAGTCTCATGGGGAACACATCTCAAAGATCAGAAGTTGAGGGAACATGCTTCAAATAATGTTTGCCATGGCTTTCTGAAGCAAACCGGTAAACCTTGTAAACCGATCCGGCCAGTGTTCACGTCGACGATCATCTTCGATCCCTGGTACTGCAGGAGATTGTCCGCGAGGACGAGAACACTCTTTTGGTGCAAGGCTTCAGGCACACGCGGCCGGGCCGGTGGCGTAGGGTATATAAGCCGAAATCAAACATCGAAGCAGATCGACCCGAATCACAGGTACCAGTGGATTGTTCTGTGTGGTCAACCAGTGGATCTGTGCAGCGTCCAGCTGGGTGATTTAACATGATTTAACCATTCACGACTTCACGAGTATCGCAGCTCAAAGGCGAAATGCTGAGAGCCCTGAGAGCCTGAGATGTCGAGGAAGCTTGGCAGATGTCATACTTGGGGAGCCAGGAAACATAAGGGAACCATTTGTTCGCGCCTAATGTATCCGACATAGATATTTCGTTTGTTCTTATGATCGCTGACCAGGGAGAGCCACTGTAAAACTTGGGAGAGCGGATAGCCCAGCATGACCCTGAACTACTGTCCATCTTGAGTGGAATACTTGGACATGACATAGCTGCATAGCTGGACCATCACTGATGCCTCTGTGATCTCTGTGTTTGAGTCCAGTGTGCGGAGTGATTACTTTGTTCCACACAGTGTTGCCTCTTGTGATGCTATGGTTGTAGCGAGCCATCGTGAATTGCAATCTGCAAGCTTGGGAGCGAGACAGCTTTCAAATTCAGACGTTTGAAAGGAAGATGGACGGTTTGCAAAAGAACAATGGGAAGGCAGAGATTGCAGAGATAGAGTTCCAGAAAGAAATCGTGCCCCGAAAGATTCGGATGAAGAAGCCTCCAAGGAGTTACTTCCTGGCGACCAACCAATGCTTGAACAAATGCTAAGACTTTAAGAGAAAGGATGAGAAGGTTGATTCTCTCGGCACTGAAAATCACTGATCTTAGGACTGCTACCCTGCCGGCCGTGGGCAATGGTCTCGATGGCAGGTGTTTTGCAACTTGGATGGGTGGGGAGGCGGCTGATCTCGGACGGGCCACTCATACTAATAAATACGATGAGCCCAGCAGCATAGCCAAGTGGATCAACAGGGTGTATTTGGTGTCAGAGTGTGTGTATCTCAGTATTTTTCAACTCAGGGCACAGCCAATGAAGTAGGACCGGTGCTCATTGTTTGTTTACTTTGTTATGAAACAAACACGGTGTCGAATTCTTTCATATGAGTCTCTGGTAGTGTGTTTGTTTAAATGAGGGCTTCAACCAATGAGTTTCAGGGGATTCGACGTCAGCTTCCAATCAGATCAGTCTGTGGCGTTTCACCCGTAGGCAAAGGCTGAGTCCATTCGTGTCCATTCACATCCAGAACCCGGCCCTACAACTCCCTGAAATGATTATTGAAGTGGAAAACCACCAGGGACCATGTAGAACAGAGCAAAATGCTGTTTCCAGGGACATCCAGGGACCATGTTCCACTTCCGATTTCAGGGAGTGTTACCATTTCCGACCCTTGGTCCAACGCCGTGACGTCCACTGCCTGGCCTCCCACGGCCTCCCATGGCCGAGGCTCCTCGGAGTCCTTTGGCGATCGCATCGATCGGGGGACTTTCAGGCGCGTTCGTCATCGGCGAAGTCGGCGACGGAGCGAAGAGTTATATAGCCCCCACAAAGCGGTGGCAGAGGTCTCGGGTTTGGAGCTTCTTTGTCCCCAACTGCAACAAAAACATCTTTGTAGTTTATATAGTCTATTTAGTCATCTCAGAAGCAGATCCAATGTCTTTGCAGTGAATATGCATATCACTGTACTTCAATACTTCAGGAGTTGGTGGACAGACAAGCCAACGATTGCCTCTCAAAATGCGGGGATTCCCGAAAAAAGCATCTCAAAATCCAATAGGTGTCATGCATGTAACTAAAAGTAGAAGTTTTGGGGAGCTTCCTGGCTTGACACACACAGCTTCGCGGTTGGGTGAAGGCATGGACCGTTCAATGTTCAATGCAAAGACAACATAAAGCTCCTGTGGAACCAGGATGGTGCTGGAGATCCATGGGGTGCTGTAGATCCCTGGTGAGAGCTCACACGTCAGCATCAGACCAGCTAGATTGTACACGAGAAACAAAGAGAGGCTCAATGTTCCTGCCTGGACTTCATGATGCCATATTGACAGAACATCCTTTCAAGAAGTTTGGAAGATGCGTTTGGTTTCCACGGCTGCACATTGCTGGTTTGGTTCGCACTTGTTGTACAATGATGTTTGTCAGGATAGACTGTAAGCGTATCTATCCAAAGCTAGACGAAAGATCAAATCCTCACTTCACCGCACCCAGCTGTATGGAAAGGTCAAATCCTGGTCAACTTGGCTCGCACAGGTCTTTACTTTTCAGGATTGGGAAGAAGAGCTGCCCAAGTGTAGCAAGCCAGCAGTGCCGTCGGGAGCCGGTCTCGTGGGGTCGACTTGGGGGTTGGCGTTCGTCCAACCGCCCAAAGCGGAGGCAGGCCGAAGTCGTAAGACTGGGTGAGACCTCCTCAATCCATGCTGGCATGTCTCATTGAGTCCATGGAGATTGTAAAATTTATGATATCTTCCCACTGCCACAGCATGCTCAAACCAGAAATATCTTGAACCCCACGGTGGACGGTGCTTCCAGACTCCGCTGCTCTCTCGGATCCGTGAAGATCCCGAAGCTACGCCCATGCGACCGATCGGACTGATGCACCGACCAGCGGACATCCAAACGGGCCCCACTATGCCTTGGACGTCTTGAACGTCTTGGGCACCAGACCTCCCCGGCAAAGGGAGGAGGGAACCGATCCTTCTCCACTTCTACCCGATTCGAGCCGCGCAAGTCATTGAATGAAACAAGTAACCAAAGTTGTAACCAAACAAGCGTGTTGGTTTCTCTTCTTCTTCATCCAAGCCAAGCTGTAGAGAAACACTGAGCCCATTGCCAAGCCGCCAAGTGTTGATAGCGCATTCTGCGACTGTTTTTTTCAATTACATCTCTCTATACCTCCGATGGTTCTCGGGTGAAGTTGATATACCAGGACTGCAGTCGTTCCACCATCAGAGTCTGAGGCGAAGATTTCCCGAAGCTGGACTTCCTTTGGGCCGCTCGGCCAAAAGAACGTGAAATCGCACGCATTTGGGAGGCGTTGGAGGTGTTCCACCCAGAGTGGTTCACTGTCAGAGTCTCTTCAGCTCAGTTGAATCCACAAGAAAGCCAAGAAGATAAGGAGGCGCCACCACCTCGCATCGCCCATCATCGCCCTGTTCTCCAAAATCCATCCAAATCCCAAGGTTCAAGTCCCAACCGAACAAAGCATCGATATTTCGCAAGGGTAAGAGAGAGAGAGAGAGAGGGACACACACTTAGATTGATGATCGCAAGATCTAAATCAGTTGACGAAGTTCCACTTTACTGCAGGTAGACCTTTACACTCAATTAGACCTTGGCTGAAGGAACGGAAAGGTGAAGGAGTCCGGAAACCAGAATTGTTGAACATCGCTCATTAGTCCTTTACAATATGTTTAAAATTCCTGCAGGTACGTCCAGAAAGCGTCCTTTCTGGATATCACGGCCAAACTATCACTGTCTTCGTTGGGCAGTGAGTGATAGTGGTCCACTGCCCCCCTGCAAACCTCATGA